TAATTATACATACAGATATAAACATGGAACTATTATCATCTGAGAGTAAGGTGCAGGCACTATGCTTCTTTACCTCTAAAGTATTTCAGGGTACATGTTMTAAGAACACAGCCATAGTACTTATTGAAATTAGGAAATTTAGTGTGGCTACAATGTTATTTTCTAGTCCATAGTCTAGACTCAAATTTTGTTAATTGTCCCAATAATACTTTATAGTTATCTGTTTCCTGATCCAAGATCTAATCCAGGATCATATGTCACATTTAGTTGTTACATCTTTTTAGCGAAGACCTTATTTTTTTCAACTTTAATATATATCATTTAATTACACCTAAAACCTATTTCAAATTACAATCATTTAAATGGTATTTTAAAATATTAGAAATGTCAAGTTAGGCAAAATTTTACACTGATTAGAACAAACATTGGGAATTGAACTTTGCTAAGTGGGAAAGTTCTGTCAAGGCCAAAAAAGAAAATAGAGCAAAAAGTCAGAWTTGTTCTTAATTTGTGAGCAGAGTCCATTAAGGACAGAAAAACAAAGTGTTCATGTGTATTTCTGGCCAGTACATGTCTCTCCCCTTGTTGTTCTTGTCCTACTATTGAGGCCTCTGTGCTTCTCAAACCACCTTTAGTGAAGGATCAGGGTTTTTGTTGTTGTTGTTGTTGTTGTTGTTTAATATTTTTTTTAGTTGTAGATGGACACAATATCTTTATTTTATTTATTTATTTTTTGATGTGGTGCTGAGGATCGAATCCAGTGCTTCCCATATCTGAGACAAGTGCTCAATCTCTGAGCTACAACCCCAGCCCTGAAGGATCAATTTTGTGTCTTTTTATCAGTGCTCTTTTCCATCTATCAAGGACTGACTATTTTATATAAAATATAATGAAAATAAATTAATAGAAAAATGAAATAATAATACACATACACAATTCCCATCTATGTTTTTATCTTTAGATTCAACAAACTTACTTTCTTAAATTGGTAAAAGTTTCTAAGTGCCTTATCTGAATTTCTGTATTTATCTCATTGCACTGGTCCACGGACCACCCTTTGAGTAGTACTGGTCTGTAATAGCACAAGTACCACATTTAGTTGTGTATGTGGCCATCTTTCTTGCTAGAGAYGAGTCTCTACATGATAACATTACATATACCCAGCAGCCTGGGGCAAGGGACTTTGTATCTCATCATATTCTACACATGCATGTGAACAGGAGCTCAAAGTAAAGGATAAGTGGAAGCACCACCTTAGGAAAGTAACTCAGACTCTAAAGTCAGCAATGTGAACCAGACGTGGAGGCACACTCCTGCAATCCCAGAAACTGAGAAGGCTGAGGCAGGAGGAGCAAAAGTTCAAGGTCACCCTCAACAACTTAATGACCCTGCCTGAAAATTAAAAAAAAAAAAAAATCAACTAAAATCTCAGAAACAAACTACAATCTATATTCTCTTGGCAAGCTTCACTATAAAGGRCCAGATAATAAGTATTTTAGGTTTGTGGGCTCTGAGGTCTCATTGCATTGACTTGTCTGGGCCACTGTAGTGTGAATAAAGCCATATGCAGAAAATTGGAGGCAGTCATGTTCCAGTAAATTTTTATTTATGAATACTGATATTTTAATTTCATATTTTAAAAAATATATCATATTTTAGCGGGGTATGGTGGTGCATACCTGTAATTTCAGCAATTCAGGAGGYCAAAGCAGGAGTATTGAAAGTTTGAGTCTAGTGGGCTGGGGYTGTGTAGCTCAGTGGTACAGCTCTTGCCTCCCACATGTGAGGCAYTGGGTTTGATCCTCAGCACCACATAAAATTAAATAAATAAAATATACTACAACTAAAAAGAAAAAGTTTGAGTCCAGCCTGGGAAACTCAGCAAAACCCTGCCTCAAAAAAGTAAAAATAAAAAAGGTTGGGGATATAGCTCAGTGGTATAGTGCCCCTGCATTCAAGTCCCAGTACTGGGGACAATCCCATATTTTCAGTCATAAGATGATTCTTTTGATTTGTTTTCATTCATCTAAAAAATGTAAAATCCATTCTTAGCATGGCAGACCATTCAAAAGCAGGCAGAGGGCTAGATTTCATCTTCTGCTCTTTAGTTTGCCAACTCTGCTCAAAATCCTCTCCATCTCAGTTCAGCTAAACAAATCTATTGCACATTATAACCTTGAGTCTATAGGCTGGGGAAGGTGGAAAAACTTGAATTTGTTCTGTGCTAATTTTTTTAAAATTTTTAGTTGTAAATGGACATAATATCTTTTAATGTACTTATTCATTTTATAAGGTGGTGCTGAGGACTGAATCCAGTGCCTCACATGTGTGAGGCAAGCACTTTACCCAGCTCTGTGCTAAAATTTTTTAAACTTCATTTTGCAGTAATTTCAGACTAGAAAAAGGTTGGGGGAAAAACACAGTACAAAGAATCTCTTCACTGAGTCCCCAAATGTTAACATTTTCCACATTTACTTACCTTTCCTGTGTTCTTTTCATGCCTAGAATACCAACTCTTGAATCTTGTTTTCTCTTTCCACATTTTTAGTTTTGGAACTAGTAGAGTCAGTTGCAAAGATCATGTCCTTTTGTTTCCAAACACCAAGAACATTCTCTTACATATCTACAGCATTGGTCAAAATCAATACAAAACTACTATTTAATCTTTAGATTCTGGGCCATTATGGAGATGAGGGACTTTAACATCAATGTATGATATTATCAGATCTACAGGTCTAATTCTGATTTCATCAACTGTCCCACTAATATCTTGTATTTGCCTACCATCGTCTCTGGTAACTCCCCCCTCCACAATTACCTAGTGAATTTGATGTTGTTTTGTCTTTTTCACCAATGAAGAAACTACAGCTCAGAGAGATTATGCAACTTGTCCACAGTTAGATAAATGGTAAGTAGCAGAGCTAGAATTCTGACTAAGTGTGCCTGTCCCTGGAGCACTTCCTCTTTGGGGGGTGATGTAGGGAAGGAGTAGTGGGGATTGAACCTAGGAGTGCTTGACTGAGCTATATTTCCAGTCTTTTTTAATTTTATTTTTATTTTGAGACAGGATCTTGCCAAGTTTCTCAGATTGGCCTTGAACTTTTGATTCTCCTGCCTCAGCCTCTTGAGTAGCTGGGATTACAGGTGTGTGTCACCTTTCCCAGCAAATTCTTGCTCTTCAGTTCTGGACTAGAATTGCAGAGTTAAGAAAGGACTTCACAGATCAAGGAGGGGGAGTTGGCATTACATGCATGAAAAGAACATGGAAAGGAAAATCAGTGACCGATCCTGTCATGGTCTCTCAAGGAAATGTCCAGTGGGAGAGGGCATGAGCAAATGGAGGTTTGGATATGTTGTTATACAATATGAAAAGGTTTTTTGCAACATCAAGAGATAAGCTAAGATTACTATTTTGACTCGTTAAAAAGTAAAAACTTTTTACTCATAAAAAAAAACCACTAGATACAAAAAAGCAACACAAAACAAATATATGATATAATGAGTTACAAGGTGATAAGGCCCAGCAAGGGCAGGACAAAATAGGAAGGCCACATTTGAGACTYAATTGAGAAGAGAGCTCAGAAGAATCTAAAGTCTGGTCAAGGGGAGAGTCTTTGTCAATAGAATAATTAGACCACACGTTGGTTTTTCAAAGCAAAAAGTTAACAAAATAAAAAGTTAGATAATGACATCTAAAAGATTGGATTTTGGGCTGGGGATGTGGCTCAAGCAGTAGCCCGCTCGACTGGCATGCTGCGGCCTGGGTTCGATCCTCAGCACCACATACAAAGATGTTATGTCTGCCGAAAACTAAAAAATAAATATTAAAAAATTCTCTCTCTCTCTTTTAAAAAATAAAAATAAAAGATTGGATTTTTATGTTATGTAAGTTTTAACTCAATACAACTGGGAAAAATTAAATACATATACTTAAAAGCAATATCCCTAAAGTTTTCTTCCCTTAAGTTTTTATTTTATTTTATTTTATTTTATTTTGTTTTTTTTTTTAGTTGTTGACAGACCTTTATTTTTTTATTTATTTTTATGCGGTGCTGAGAATCAAACCCAGTGCCTCACACATGCCGGGCAAGTGCGCTTCCACTGAGCCCCAGTTGAAACTTGGGTAGTGAAAGAACAGAGGGATTTTCAAAGAGCGCAGGGAAGCAACCAGGGAAAAGAGGGTAACTTTGCATTAAAGTCTGGAAGTTATCCGAGTCCCGGGACAAGTTAGTTTACACCGAAACCTTTCCCCAAATGTAAAAATAGTGCTATTTCATGCCCATTTGACAGATCTGCCTACAATGCAGAGATGACAAGAGAACCAAATGCAAAACTGAAAGGTGGGAGGCACTGGTGCTCTCATCACTCAAAACTCCATGAAATAAAACTGCAGACCCAACTGTTTTGGAGGTTGACATTCGAATAAATTTTGCCACAGCTGAATCACAATTCTAAATTTATCCGTAATTAGAGCAATGGTTCTCGAACTTCAGCATGGATCATAATGAGTTGGAGAGTTTGTAAAATTAGAGATAGCTGGGTTTCATACCCCCACCCCACCCCAGTTTCTGATTCCGGGTTTTTTGGGAAGGGGCTCCAGAATTTCTAATAAGTTCCAGGTGATGTCGATTGGGTTGGACCATAGACCACACTTCGAGAACCCGTGCTTTAGAGTTTTAGGATCGGAGTTAGGTTTAGTGTTATCCATTTCCCCCCTTGAGTTCTCTGCAAGCAGCCAAGGTCAAAGGAGACCCCTTGGCAATGTCCAACTCCCGGGAGCGTTATCAAGCTGTTGACAGTAGGGGCCTCTCGATCGCCGTTCCAAAGGGTTCTTCCCGAGGCCGTCACTAGCAAAAACCAGATAACCCTGCGCTGGAATCACGCGGAGGCGCGTGGCGGGGGCTCTCCCTTTCACCTCAACCCGGGGCTCTGCTACCGCGGGGTGGAGCCGGGGGCGGAGCAGGAGAGGGGGCGGCGCTAGGCTGCGGGTCCTCAGCCAAGAAAGGGCGAGCGGCTGGCCCCGGCGCCGACTGCGGAGCCGAGAGGTTGGAGAATGGTCATGATCGGGGTTCCGGTTCGCATCCTCTCTTTGCTGCTGGCGCCGCTGCTGCTGGGTTCTGCGGGCGGCTTGCTCGTAAGTCTGCGGGACTCCAGCGCTGGGACGCACTGCTAGGGACAGGTTGATGGGAAGCCAGACGGAGGCCGTGGTCACCTCAGGTCCTGGCAAAGCCCGGAGCTTGAGACCCCGGAGTGTCCCGGAGCAGGCAGGCAACCGGCCGAGCTCAGGCAGTGGACTGGCCTTCCTGTCGGGGGCGGGCCGGACAGATCGGGCGGGGCGCGCGTCCTTCCCTGTAGCTGGGTGGCTTGTGTGTTCCGCTCGGACTGCTCCTTTCGCAGGGACCTACTTCCCCATTTGTGTAACGAGGTGGGGAGATGAGGTGCGCCTAAACCTATTCAGTTTCGGATTTCCAGGAGAGGGAATCCAAGTCGCGCGGGCTATTGGAGGGCTCAGTGGACTCCGGTTTGGTGCGCCCTCCCTTGCCTAGTTCCGTGCTCTGCGGAGCGCTCCGGAAGGAGATAAATGGGGTCAGGAGAGGCCCCCTCAAAGATGAACCTTGTAATGTTTTTCTGGAGGGTGATCTTCCTTTCAAACATCTGGTCTCCTCCTGGCCAGTCCCCCGCCGCCTGCTATTGGGCACGGTGTTTCATCGCGTTCGTGGGACCCTTTCTCTTTAGGGTTTTGCAGGCCAGATTGAGGGTGGGAGGAGGCAGGCTGCAGGTGGGCACGAGCGTTGACCGATCGTGGTCAGAGAGGCTGTTGGGGCGTAGGGGCGTGCCCCTGGGAAGCTCTGCGTCACATCTGCGGAAAGAGAGGGAGTAGTTTGGAACGCGGCAATGGCCTCACTGCACGTTCAACAAATCAACTTCGGGTTGGTTCCTCCAGAGTTCAGGTGCATTGAGTCTGGGCACCTTTTAATACAGGTTGGTGGGATTTGAACCTGTTGACTTATGAGTTACACCCTTTGATAAAAGGCTATCAATACGCGCCCAGAACAGAGAAAAGTCATTTATCTAAAACCAAGATGGAAAATCTTAAGTATTTGGAAAACAGCTGCTGAGAATATTTTCATTTTGGGAAAAGGTTGTCTCAAATTGGGTATTGGCAGCTGCTGCTCCCTCTCCATCTGTCTGTGGTTCTCCTGCCCCCATCTCTCTTGCCTCCCCCCTCCCCCTTATTAAACWTTTTTTTTTTTTGTCATAATTGAAAGGTCTGGAGGAACTCTGAGGTTGGAGCTAGACAACTATAAGAAGCTGTTGAAGGTGGAACTGGGAAATAGTTCAGTGGCAGAGTGGAGTGGGGGATGGGAGGAAGATCTTAACCAGTATCTGAAGAGGGGTAGATAAGGATTTGTGGATGAAGAACAGGTCTACAGAGCAGCCCTCTGGGTAATAGATCATCACTCTCCTAAAGCATCATTAAGTGAGTGGGGTGCACCCCGTCTGAGGCCCTCAAGGGGAGGCCAGCATCACCTCAGGAATTCTTAGGTGTCCCTTCTGGGCTTCTGTGTCTAGAGCTGAAGACTAGAGCCAGCAGCCTAGCTTTCCTTTATTGCCTTGTTTGCATTTATTGCTTTCAATGTCCTGGACAAAATTTGAAAATATTTATCAATTTCTTTTAGAAGTAACAAGACTATTACATAGTAATAAACATATTCTTATGAAAGATAATAGTATTTCTCAATTTCAGAGTGCAGTCACATTGTTTTACATTCTGTGTCTTAATAAGAGACATTTTTAAATGTACTTTTGCATTGAGTCCATTACCATATGACATGTCATGCAGCTTCTAGAAAGCTCTACTGTATATGCCTGACAGTGAGAATGGAAAAAGTGGTGATGGCTTAGTAGTAGTATGAAAATAGTGTCTGACTAAATGGATCATCTGAGAGGGTGTCACTTGAGAACTGTTGATGTAGAATAATGTATTTCTTATTTTAAAAAAATGTTCAAGCTTACTGTGGAGAAAGTTTAAACATACAGAACGCTGTGCAAAAATAAAAGCTGCCCATCATGTCACCATCCTGTGTGTTTGTATTTAAATAACAATAGTGTAGTACCTGACTATTTGAGTGGCTTAGATTTGAGGTAGGTTGGGTAGATATTAGTGGCCTTCGGGTTTTGAATGGGGATAAAGCGACTCTAATATCCCACAAAGCTGACACCAGTTCCTGGTTGCAGGCCGAGCTGACCTGGAAGCCTCTCGTTGGCCACTGTCCTTTCTAAGGAACTCGCCTTCCAGAGCCCACCTGCGCAGAACTGGTGGGGACTCTTCTAGGAGCAGAGAGAATGGCGCACTTCAGGCAGCTCTCCCTGGGCTCCAAGGCTGCCCTGGCTGCGGTCACTGTCTTCGTGTCCATGATCGTCTCCCGCTCCTATCTGGCACAGAGCCTGGAGCTCAGGGCCTGGCGATGGCTGTTCCGCCTACAGCTTGCTCTCTTTGTCAACTCGCTCATGCTCATTGGTTCCCTCTACATCTGGCGTAGCACAGTGAGCAACCTCTGCCACTCCCCAGCAATGGAGTCCACCTGTTTCCAGCTTTGGAAACTGGTGGTGATGGTGTTTCTGGCCCTGGCCCATTCCAGTTTCTTCACCATGCTCTTTCTGGTGGCCGAGGAGCCCTATTTCTTTTCCCTGGCGGCCTACTCCTGCCTGGGTGCTTACATCATCATGGTTTTCTTCCTCTGCATCCTCAGTGGCATGGAGCAGGCCTACCAGCTCTTGGCCTGGCGCAGCGGTAGGATTGTGGGCAGCCTTGACAAGTCAAGGAAGYTGGTGCTCAGGCCCGCCCTGGCGGTGGTGGTGACTGCCGTGCTCAGCATGATGGGGCTCCTGAATGCTGCTAAGCCCCCAGCAGTGAAAACCGTGGAGCTGCCCATCCCTCAGCTGCCCCTCTCTATGAACAACCTCAAGATCGTGCTCCTCTCTGACATTCACTTGGGGCCCACAGTGGGAAGGACCAAGATGGAGATGTTTGTGAAGATGGTGAATGCATTGGAACCCGATGTCACAGTGATTGTGGGTGACCTCTCTGATTCGGAAGCCTCTGTCCTTCGGACGGCTGTTGCTCCTTTGGGCCAGCTTCATTCACGCCTTGGCACCTACTTTGTCACGGGCAATCATGAGTACTATACGTCGGATGTCAGCAACTGGTTTGCACTGCTGGAGTCCCTGCATGTCCGGCCACTTCACAATGAGAATGTGAAGATTTCTGCCACAGGGGCCCAGCGTGGCGATGGTGGTGGTGAAAGTGAAGACTGGATCTGCTTGGCCGGAGTGGATGATATCGAAGCAGACATTCTGCACTACTCTGGCCATGGCATGGATCTTGACAAGGCCCTGGGGGGCTGCACCCCAGACCACACCATCATTTTGCTAGCTCACCAGCCCCTGGCTGCCAAGAGAGCCCTCCAGGCGCGGCCAGATATTAACCTGATCCTTTCTGGGCACACACATGCTGGGCAAATCTTCCCGTTGAACGTGGCAGCATATCTCCTGAAYCCCTTCTTTGCAGGTCTCTACCAAGTGGCCCAGACTACATTTGTATATGTCAGTCCAGGGACAGCCTACTATGGGATTCCCATGAGGCTGGGGAGCAGGGCAGAGATCACAGAGCTCATCTTGCAACAGGCTTCCTGAACCAGCCCTGCCCTTGGTACCCCTCCCCTCCCCTCCCCTCCCCTCTCTGTCCCTCTTCAGAGTTATTTGCCAGCTTTACCCCTCCAGCCATGACGGCACCCCCTTGGTCACAAACCTAACATGAACAGTGATTTGTAGTGGGGCTGCCTGGCAAGTTCAGGCTGGTTTAATTCTTTTAAGTGGCTACTTGCTTTTTGGGTATGCATCTGTGAGGCCACTAAGGTCACCTATAAGAGGACATGCTTCTGCTTTCCAGTTGGTGTGAAGTGAAGTCCTCCTGCAGAGCTCACAGGGAAGAACCCCAATGTGGGGTTCCTAATTTAGAACCCGAAAGGGGCAGGAGTGTGTCTTCCTCTTGGTGTTTTTTTAAACCCTCTTTAGGAGTTAGATCTAGAACCTTTTTAGAGGTGGTATTGGTAGGTAATGTGGGACAACAGGTAAGGTCGGAAGCCCCTTGGATTGCTGGAGAATATTTTCTTATTCTGCTGGGTTCTGACAGAATCAGCTATATTGAGGGCATCAGCAAAAAATGCTGGAACACAGAGGGCCTCTCGTGTTCAGGTCTTGAGTAATGCCCTTTGACTGTGCTCTTGGGTGGCCTGGGCTGGGGGCCCGCTTGAGCAAAAAAAAAAAAAAAAAAAAAAAAACTCTCTGGCCGGTGATGGTAATGCTGCTGCTTAGGACCTCGGGGGTTTTACCTCCCTTGTCTTTTATACTTGGGTGAGGTAATTAGGGACAGGTGGCTTCTGTATTTATAGATGAGGAAACTAAGAGAAAGAGGCAGGGCACCCACAACATGACAAGGTATGTTGAAGGGCTGGGGACGTAGCTTACTGACATAGCATTTGCCTAGTGTATGCAGGGCCCTGGGAGAGATCCCCAACATCAGGAAAAAGAAAGACGGGTTGGAGACTTGGGGCTAGAAGCCAGGTCTGCCTCCTACTGAAAGTTCTTTCCACTGTCTGGTGGTTAAGTAGCTTTATTATTATATTTGAGTATAGAGCCTCACGCAGTTAACTGCAAAAGGAGAACAAACCAGAACCTGATGTTCCTGCAGAGTTCTTTGCTGAAGTCTGACTTCAGTTTACCCACCACTACGTGGAACAGAGCCTACAAGGCAATTAATTAGCTAGTTTTGGTGTAGGCTGTTAACATTTGAGGAAGAGTCAGGAAACTGGGGGCCCCCTACTTCTCACCCCAGGTTGGGGTCTGACGAGAAGTGAAGGTTCACAATCCACCCCTGGGGAAGTTGAAGCTTTCATGGGGTGTGGCAGGGCTCCCTGCCTCTTGCAGGGCCTTTCCAGCTTCCCCTCCTGAGCCCTGGAGTTCAGGAACTGTTCTTCCTGCTGGGCAGATTCCAATCCACCTGTCTTGCCCCAGGAGAGCTGCCCTTAGACTCTGGCAACAGAAATAACAGGATCATTCCTTGCTGGCCTT